CTGCATATAAAATTTCACGTGCACACGAATGCTTATATCCAGAATTAAACTTTGCTAGTCCCAGTTTGGTGTAGTGGTGAAGTGCGCGGACTTTAATCTGGGAGAACCGGGTTTGATTCCCCACTCCTCCACTCGCAGCTGCTGGATGACTTTGGGCAAGCTGTAGTTCTGTCAGAGCTGTCCTTGAAAAAGAGCAGTTTCTGTCAGAGCTCTCTCAGACTCACTGACCTCACAGGGTGTCAGTTGTGGGGAGGGGGAGGAAAAGGAGTTTGTAAGCCGCTCTGAGACTCTTTTGGGTAGTGAAGGGTGGGGTATAAATCCAATCTCTTCTTCTTCTTCTTAAAGGTGCTACTGGACTCATTTCCTTTATGGTAGCCCTGAGTTGCTGGTGTAACCAAAGGGCAACTGACTCAAATTCAACCAAGTATGCAAGGAACTGGCACTCGCTGCATTACTGTTCGGGGGGCACCTGGAGAAGACTTCCTTCCGCCCAAGGTGAGAAAAAGGATCATGGAAACCTCAGGGTTAAGTTCGCCACAGAAAAATGACAGGCCACCAAAAAAAGAGTCAGTGAGAGAACTTGGTCGTGTAGACAAGGGCTGTGAGTTCAGGATTAATGGCCCCTAAGTGCCACACGGGAAATCACAGCCTTGGCAAGTAAAGAAATATCTATCAAATTTTTATCCCACCTTCTCTCCCCAAATCTCAGGGTGACCTATGCAGTTTGCCCTTCCCTCATTTGATCCTAACAGTCTTCTGAGGTAGGTGAGGCTGACATATAGAGACAGACTGAGAGTAACAGGCCCAAGATCCCAGTGAGTGTCTTGGAATAGCGGGAATTTGGACCACTACTCCACACTGGCTCATGTGTACGAGGAGGAAATTGGGAAAGCTGGGGCCCAAGGCTCTCGAGAGGACACGGGGGCCCATTTCCTCCTCCAGGCGCCAACCCACCACTGGTCCCCCACCTTCCTTCACTTACATCTTTGGCCCTCCAGACTTTGATGGTCCGATCCTGAGAGGAGGAGAACAGCAGGCCGTCTCCCCCCCACTTGATGCAAGTCACAGACTGCGTGTGGCCAGTCAGGATCTTGTCACAGCGACCCACGACTGTGTCCCAGATGCGAACGCTCCCATCTTTGGAAGAGCTGGCCAGGTATCGGCATTCTGGATTCCTGGGAAGGCAGACTGGAAAGCTGTAATATACCGCACTAACATTTTGAAAAGTTCTTAATTCAGGCAAAACAAATTCCCCACTAAGAAAAGCGGGCTTTTCCAATCTGTGTAAGTGAAGGACACATTTCTTAGTTTGGGAAGGAGGGAGTGGAGCTATTCAGAGCAGTGAGATCCAGGAGAGCCAGAATACTTATTATACTCTTCCCTAAGTGTCTGTGAATTCAACAGATGTTGCTCGTACCCTTTCAAGCGTATCTTTCGAGAACATGGATCAGGAGCTTGTTCATATTTCTTAAAATGTAAAAAAAATAAAAATAAAATGGAAGATTCTCCAGGAACTGAATCCTGCATCCCGTATCACCCTCCTGATTTCCTTTATTTGCACAAAATTGCTGCACAGACCCAACCTTTGATTGGAAAAGTTTTACCGATTTTTGGGCCTCTTGTTATTTAGAATATTCATACGTATATTTCCAATGTAGCAGCCTAAACCGCACAGACTAGCCCAAGCTTGCCAGAGCTAGGAAGCTAAGTAGGATCAGCCGTGGTCAGTAACTGGATGGAGGACCACCAACGGTGGTTAGGAGAGGCCACTTTCTGCATCTTCCCTACTCTGATAGGAGTTACTCCCTCGGTAAAGCAGATTCCACCGCTCATAATTTATTGGAATGCCCTCCATAGGCTAACCTTAGATGCCATTTTATTCTACCATGGGTGGTGAATTTCAGAGGTTTTAATCCAAGCGGGGTGGTCCCCTTTACTCTCAGATCAAAATCCTACTATCACCTTGGATGTCGCAAAATTTGTTTTTTAATTATTAACTTGTTTGCTTATTTATTTCTATATTGCCCGTAGCCGAAGCTCTCTGGGCGGCTTGCAGCAAATACAAAACAATAAAATAAAATAGATAAAAACATTAAACATCAAAACTAATTTAAGATAACATAAAAACATTAAGCGATAGGCCTGACTCAAAGAGAAATAAAAACACCCGGCTAATCGTATCGGACCCCTGCATAACCAAGGAGGTCTCTAAAGGCCTCCGCATAGAGGGGTGTCTTAACCTGGCACCGAATAGATGGCAAATCTGGCGTCAGGCGGGCTACAACAGGGAGGTTGTTCCTTGCGCCTTTTGGGAAATACAGATCACAAATTAAAATTCAGACTGTTGTACTTCTCAAGGAATTGAGTTAAAGAGCTTTTATTGGAAAGAAAAGGAAAGGAAGACCTCCAAGGAAATCCAGGGTTGCTACACAGAGGCAGGCGACGGCAAATCACATCCGTCCGTCTCATGCCCTGGAAACCCCATGAAGTAGAACTTCACAGGGTCATCGTAAGTCGGTTGCTTGACTGAATTTTCCCCCCTACGCACCTCACTCACGGTGGTTTCCAAGGGCAATGACAACGCAACAAATGCACCCGCAACAGCAAAGCAAATAAACACTCGAGAACAGCAGGTGAGTTTTACTGGCAGTAGCAGATGCAGTAATCAAATCTAACCCAGGAGATCAAAACAGAAACGATCACAGAACACCATAAAAGCAGCACGATCAGAGGAGCAGGGGGGGGCGAGGGGGAAGAGTAGGACTAAAGAGTAATGTCCCCTGTAAGGCTTCTCGAGGACAACAATAAAACGCTTTGGAAATTTTTAAAAAAATGCCTTTTCCTGCCACCCCAATGTTGGTGAGTGGGGTGCGATGGCAGCCCGGTGAAGGAGAATTGCCAAAACCCACAGCAGAAGGAGCCCCATCTCACCACGCTCCAGACAGCCGGGGCACACAGAGCAGGCCCCTAACCCTGGCCCTGAAAGAAGGCTTGCGCCCAGACGCACACGGAACCCTGGTTGCGAGTTCTGAGCCAGGCGGCCCCAAACCCAGAGGGAAGGGAGACGGAGCAGGGCCAAGCCCCCACTTACAAATGGAGCGGCTCCCAGCACAAGGAAGTGATCCACTTGGAGTGTCCTGCCAGCACCCGGCCGATCTGACTCCCCGTGGCTGGGTCCCAGAGAAGTATCTGCACAAGGACAAAGAGGGTGGGGTTTGTTTCCTTGAAAGAGGTTTTGAGCTGTTTCACATACAGAAAGTGATAAGAACGAGAAGGCATCTGTAAGCTTGGGCTTGGACTGAGAAGACCCCTGGGGCGAGGGATGGCCGTGAACCAGGAACATGTGGCTATGGCCTCATTCGAACGGAACCGGTTCGTGCAGCTCACGGCCCTGCAAGCCCCATTTAAAGGGACTGCAGTCCCTTTAAATGGGGTTTGCAGTGTGGGGATAGGAAAATCTCTGCGAGGCACACCCGGAGAGGCTCCTGTTTCCACAGGGAGATTGGCAACGGGAGATTGGCAAGCAGGGCACATTCTTTTGCTGAGTCTGCATAAGTCTGTTGTTTTACTAAAGAGTACAATGAATTGCTGAGAGCACACAAGCTTTGCAACATTCAAGGATAATCTTTCCTGTGAAAGAACATAGTGTGATTTTTGCATAGAGACCACTAACTGTAACATTTTCTCACTGTGCCTTGTGTGAGCTGCTTGAATCTAATAAAAACGCTGCTGTGACACAGCCTGTCAGACGAACAGGGAGCTTGGTACAGAGAGAGAGACAGAGCTGATCTGCAGCTTCAAGAAATCTCTGTGTTGTGTCGTTCTTGAACCCTACGAAAAGTCAACATTGCAGAAAGCCCAAAAAACAGCTGAGGGGTGGGGAGCAGCTTGCTCCCTGCTGCTCAGCTGTTTCGGGCTGTCTTGTGCAGTCTCTTTAAACTTTAAAGGGACTGCAGAAGACGGCACGAAAAACTGGGAGTGAACTGCCCCGCCCGAAGGGACTTTGTCCTTCCCTTTCTCCTGGCTGTGGAGATCTGAACCCAGTAGAAAGGGGTGGAGAGTGCCCTACGGAAGGCACTTCACCCCTTTCTTTCTGCTGGCTGCAGCGAGCAGAAAACAGGGGCATTTAAGCACGACTTTCTACTCCCCGTGAAAATCTGCAGGGAATGAAAAGCAGGATTTAAATGGCTCCCGGCCCTTTTAAACTGGGCTGCACACGGGAGCCCACAGCAAAGATGCCCCTTTGCTTCTGAGCTCAATTCAAGGTGCAAGTGTCCCCTCCTTACTGGGCTTACGGCGTGCCTATCTTACTAGGTATGTGAAGAAGCCCTTCTCTCTCTACGTGAGCCTGAACGGCCACTCCACTCTTGAGCCCAGTTTTCACACTCCATCCCTTCCTGCAGACAACCACAGCTAGCGAGTGCTCCCTTTCAGTGGCAGCCCCCGGTCTGTGGAATGGCCCTCCCCAAAATGCAAGGCGACCCCCCTCTCATGTTTAGGAAGACCTGCAGTGCTTAACTCGTGAACATGACTCTGGTGGGTGGGGTCGTGTTCTGGTTGCTAGGGAGGCACAGGTGTCATGCCAGCAGTATTTTGTGGGTGTCACTGCACTGTTTTGACTTGTCATTACTCACTGGGAGAGAAAGCCAAGCGCATAAATAAATAAATAAATATTGCGATTGATAATAAATAGGCTACTGGGTGGCTCAGTAGTCTGCAAGAATGCTGCATTTGGATATATCCGAGGATGTGAGAAATATATAGAGGGCATCTCTAGACCACACAGAAGTTTCACCATTACTTCCTGTGGCTGCGAAGAGGAGAGACGGAGGGATGCCTAGGATTCTGAGCAGTCTCACCAGACTAAAATTCTCTGGTTTCCTGGGGGACAGGGTACATGACAGGGAGCCATGACCGTAGCATAAGATTTTTGCATAGAGACCACTAACTGTAACTGTAACATTCTGCTGCTTCAGACCAACTAACTGTAAGCATTCAGCCAATCAGAAGGAAGGCCCAGAACCAGTGACAGAAGAGGCGAAGGGGCCCCTACCTTAGGCGTGCTGTGGCAAGGCAGATCCACTCTGCATGTGACCAGAGGCTCTTTCTCACCTCAGACCCTCCAAAGCTGAGCTGAGGCCGAGACCTTGCCTTGCGCAAAGGCCACACCAAGCCGGCAGCCAGGACGTACTGGCTACCTCGAGGCCAAGCCACAGGCCAAGCCCTTACCTGGCTGTTCTTGCATCCAGAGGCGAGTTTCTTGCCGTCGGGCGACCAGGCGATGCAGAGGACCCAGTGGCGGTGCCCTGGGGGTGCACGGGAGACACAAGGCGTCAAGAGGGAGCCCACGTCCACGTGCTCACGGGGGCAGCTGCCAAAAGCCACAATCCCGGGACGGATTTCATCACAAACGTCGTCTGAACTCACCCTTGGCCGTGAAGTGTGGGGTCTCTGTGCTGAGATCCCAGAAGCGCACGGTCGTGTCACCGGAGCCGCTGGCCAGGTACCTGTGGAGGAAGAGGAGCAGCTGGGAACGAAGGCAAAGGCCGGCGTTCTCCGGAGCACACCTGGCATTCTTTTAAATGATTCCGTTGCTGTTAAGGGACGGGTGTCAGATCCACAGCTGATAATAAGATACACTCCTACTGGAAGGTTTTATTTTATTAAAGCCATGAAACGGATAGAACACAAGTTCTGTCAGTAATGACACAATATGCTTGAAACAGGTATCTTAAAGCAGTTCAAAATAATGAGGGCCAATAGGTAGCCTTCCCGCTCGCGCCAGGAAGATTCTGTTCGCGCCCGAAGCCTGGGAACATAACTGTTGCTATAGATTAAACAAGGTTACATTTCTCACACTACAGTTCAAGCTAGCCCAAGCATCAAGCCTCCTAACATCAACCACCTGCTCTCTTGCTGATAAGGTTGCTGCACAGCTCAGTAAGCGTATACAGAAAGGAATGTAAATACCATGAAGCACGGGAAGCAGAGATTGGACATGCACGTTGGGGCATACAGGGTAGGGTAACGTAACACAATACATGAGTCTGGAAGATATAATTGGCAGCTTGCTGACAACGGGGCGTCCTGACCTGGATGGCCCAGGCCGGCCTCATCAGATCTCGGAAACTCAGCAGGGGTCAGCCCCGGCCAGGAGTCGGATGGGAGACCACCCAGGAAGCCCAGGGTGGCTACGCCGAGGCAGGCAACGGCAAAGCACCTCTGAAAGTCTCTTGCCTGGGAAATCCTCCAGGGTGGCCATTAGTTGGCTGCAACCTGACGACACTTCCCACCCCAAAATAATGGGGGAGGAGAGGGGGAGGAAGGGGAAAGAGGGTTTTCCCCAGCCCTGCAACCCCCTGAGGGTTAGAAACTTTTTTAAAAAAGAAGAATTAGGCACTGTACTTCCAGTTGTCCCCGTCTCTGCCTGGAAACAAGAAGCGCATTCGTGCTCAAGACATCCTGGCAACAAGTGAGCCCCGCCAGGGTGAGGACGGGGCGAGGCCAGCATGCCAGGCGCCCCTGGAGCGGTGCCGCTTCAACCTGTTTGATTCTGACTGGGTCGCCAGCAAAGTGAAAAGCAAACTGTTCATCAAACGCATGCTAAGAGAAACAAAATTATTTAAGAATTACAAAATTAACTTTTGTTCTTTTATTATTTACTTATATCCTGCCTTTCTCCCCAGTGAGGAGCCGAAGCGGTTTACATCATTCTCTTCCATAGAATTATAGAGTCGGAAGGGATCTCCAGGGTCATCTAGTCCAACCCCCTGCACAAGGCAGGAAATTCACAAATAAACCCCCCCCCCCGACATACACACCCAGTGACCCCAGCTCCATGCCCAGAAGATGACAAAAACCCTCCAGGATCTCTGGGCAAAATGGCCTGGAGAAAAACTGCTTCCTGACCCCAAAGTGGCGATCGGATTATCTCAGCCACCTGTCTTAGGAAGGCAGCCTTTTGAATGGTTGGCTGTATTCGATCCCCTTGTTATGTTTTCCCCTTTGTTGTACAAATCCTTAACAGTTGCAGTAACTCACTTGATGTTTATTTTTTCCCTGTGCTTCAATACGGCATTAAAACACATACACATACATCCAATGCACGCATCCTCTTTTCAACTTGGCATGCTCCACCCATCCACGTACATTCCACCCCCCACTTACTTCCCAGTGGGGCTGAAGGCGACTGAGATGACGGCCTCGCTGTGGCCCTCCAGGGAGCTGGTGCAGCGGGTGACGGCCCGCACCTTGAACACCGCCTGGGGCTGGTAGACAACCTCCACCACCTTCTCCGTCTCCAGCGCCTGTTCAGCCAGCGTCTTCTCCAGGGAAGCGATGATTTCCGAGTCTCGCACATAGAAAGCCAAGGGGACAGGCTCCTCCTTTTGGGTGGGGAGAAAACGAAAGTTCTGAGGTTTTAGGGTGAGGGTTTTCAGACACTGCACCTCAGGCGCTGGAGGCCACAGAGCAGCGTGGCTTGTGAAAACATGCTCTGAACAAAGAAGCAGCAAGAAGCAGACGATGGGGAGCCACATGGCTTTGATGATCAGTTATCATTTAGCCCGAGATGTTTGGGGTCAGACTCAAACTGTCATACCTTTTTTAAAAAAACTGACAAGCCAGCGGGCTAAATTAGATAGCCATCACAGGCCCCGGTCACACGGGCTGGAAAATGCGGGGGGGAAGCATGGCTGTTTGCCCCGGGGCAAACTAACGCACGACTGCGCGATCAGACGTCCGGTTGAGGTTCCGTCGAGGTCCCGTAGCTAGGGGGGAGGTGCCGATCACACCACAGGCAAAGAAGCGGGGTGGCGCGGCAAACGGGGTTGTTGGGTTTTTAAAAACTTTTTTAAACTGAAGTGTGCGCATGCTCTGTTGGGTGCTTGTGCGCATCCGTGGAGCCTTGGGGGGGAAAATGACCTGTTTGCGAGGGGACATGGACAGGCGCTGGATGCCACTGGAAACCGATCAGACGCCCGCCCTTGCCCCGCGGTTTCCAGAAACTAGTACCTCCGAGGTACTAGTTTTTTGCCGCGCATCTTCGGAGGGAAGCCTCAGTTGAGCCACGGGAGCTCTACGCTTCCCAGATGTGGCGTGAGATCACGCCCGGAAAATCCGCCTATCTTCCGTCTCTCTAGCGTGGCTACTGTTCCGTGAGACCACAGCCGTAATCATGTTAATATTGCATGCTTGTGTGTATAGACGCATGGTAAAGTTATAAACGAACAGTATCTGGGATCTGTAATAACCCCTGCTGTGACTCTAAAGGGGTGTGTCTGTCTGTGTGTTAAAGGACTCCTTGCTGATAATAAGAATTGAAACCCACTGCTGTTTTAACACAGCTCTCAAGTGACATCCAATCCTAACTATGGGTAAAACGGGACAGAACTGTAAGCATGAGGTGGGAGTGGGGTGGCACAGAACAGGGAAAACATGGTTTTAGAATTTTTTTGAGGTTTTGGACACAGTGTATATAGAAAAGGTAAAACACAGCACAACCCATGATTAAAGCCCATCATCTTAAGTTTAACTTCCTTGAAAGAAAGTCTCTACATCTGAGAGACGCATACCTGAAACCTGGATCTAGATTATGGCTGCGGTCACACGGAGCATTAGCCACGCTACTAAGATTCTCAGTATAACAAGTGGGATCTCGACCAATGTTCCCTCTAAGCTGTGGGGGTCTTGTGAGCAAAAATTCTACCTTGTGAGCTACTGGCATTAAAGTTGTGAGCAAGCAGTTTGGCTGCTGCAGAAATTAGTTTGCTTTGGAGCCATCCCTTCCTGAGCTAAGACAAAAATCTGTGAGCTGGAGGGTAAAAAACTGTGGGCTAGCTCACACTAACTCAGCTTAGAGGGAACACTGACCTCGACACCATCAAGGTGTTCCTTACCAAGAGCAACCAAGGGAACTGGGTCAACTGCATGCATGTCTGTTATGTCCCTGGCACCAGGTTCATGGTTTTGTTCTCCCATGGCAATGCCATTGACTTAGGCCATATGTGCAGCTTCTACATCAATCTGGGAACCTGAACTAGCTGCAACATCTTCTCCTATGACTACTTTAGATACAGGGGCAGCACAGGTGGGGGAACACCAAGGAAGTCCAGGGTCGCCACGCAGAGGCAGGCAGTGGCAAACCCACCTCCATTTGTCATCTGCCCTGACCAGGATGGTCCCGGCTAGCCAGATCCCATCAGACCTGAGAAGCTAAGCAGGCAGCAGCCCTTGTTAGTCTCTGGGTTGGAGAGCCCCAAGGAAGTCCAGGGACACAACCGATGCTCCCGCTAAGCTGTGGAGTCTTGTTCACAAAAATTCTACTCTGTGAGCTACTGGCATTAAAGTTGTGAGTGAGCCATTTGGCTCCTACATAAATCAGTTTGGAGAGCCAGTTTGGTGTCGTGGTTAAGTGCGCGGACTCTAAACTGGGAGAACCGGGTTTGATTCCCCGCTCCTCCACTTGCACCTGGCT